ATGTGTAAGCGAAGAGTGTGAAGAGCGCCGAACTCGAGGGACCAGATAGACTCGGAGGACAAGAGTGTGTGTGTGTACAGAGACTATATTCTGGTTCTGACGTGGTGAAGAAGAAAGGCACTGTAAAGCAACAGACTGGATATGCTGATGTTGCAGCTATAACTAAAGGAATTCAGACATTAAAAATCCCAAATAGGGCAGGTTGTGGGACTAAAGGAAGAAAAACTGTAGTAGAAACCAACTATTTATCATTGGACTTGTCAACGCTTCGGAACAAAATTTCAATTCATTATGATGTGGAATTTAAACCTTCACCATTTCCAAAAAGACTTTTGAGACGTGCAATGGAAGAATTCAGGCAGAGAAACTTTCCTGATCAATATCCAGCTTTTGATGGGAGGAAAAACTTGTACAGTACTCGAGAGCTGCCAGAGAAAACTGATAGTTTCATGGTGTATGATCAAGAATCTGTTAGGGTTAAACAGTGTAAGATTACTATCAAATACACATCTCAAGTTAATTTGGGATCCCTCTCTACATATATGAGCAGTGAAAGTACACTGGAAATCCCACAGAAAGCTATTCAGGCTGTGCATGTTGTGCTATGCAATGCACCATCTTTGCATGGGTTTGTGCAAGTTGGACGCTCATTCTATACTCCTCCAAGAGTTAGAATTTTGAAACTCGGTGATGGACTAGAAATGTGGTATGGAGTGTTCCAAAGTGCCACTTTGGGCTGGAAGCCATTTGTGAACATTGATGTGACACATAAAGGTTTTCCATCACCACAAAATGTTGTGGATGCCATTTATGAAATCTGCAGACCTCAAGATGACAGTGAATTGAACTACAATCAGAAGGAGGATTTCAAGAGCTATATCCGTGACTTAAAGGTTGATTACATGATCCCTAACAATCTAACCAGCAAGCGAATAAATCAGGCTTGACAATCAGGGTAGCAATGCCGCCCCACGTTACAATATATAGTTTTGTTAATTTTGGGTAAAAGAATTTGAAAAGAGATTTATTGCTCCTATGAAACTTCTAGACCTGTCTTCAATGAACAATTTGTGTAAACTTTAATTAAATCACCAGAAAATCTCAATTTGTGAATGTAACTCATTGATCACACTTTATCAGAAAGAACAGGGAAGAAACATGCCTCTTCTTTTGTCTCCTGAATTGCCTTCTCAGTATCTTTAAGCTGCTCCTGAATATCATCCAAGTCTTTTGACATGGACTCCAAGATCATCTTTGTCAAATCCAAAGATCTGCAAATGCTGTCTTCTTTCAGGTTTTCAAGAGTCTGTAGATATCAGAAACATTCATATGTACTGAGTGGGAAAAGTCACTCTTCCAGAAGTGCCATAAAAATCAGAAATACAAAACATTTCACTGTTAATTTAATGATATTTTATCACCTGTACATGCTATAAAGTACCAGATGACAGGATGATTATAAATCATGAATTTGAAAGATCATGGAAGGAAATGGTTGTGTTCTATTCAAGGGTACTGTGAGAAACAATAAAAACCCTATTTACACTAGTTGCTCTGGGCTGAGATTTGTACCTGTCACCTCTGACATATATAGCACGAATGCTATACTACATATGGCATTCAGTATAAGCAATACAAAAAACTTGCATTAATTAATCTAAAATTCATTGGTTAATGTAAATCTATTTCTATTTGTAAGACATTCAGGCTCTAAACCACTAAACAAAACTCTGCCACTGTTTATATATTCAGAATGTATACCTCAGTGATGACAATTTAGCTTGTAACTAGTGAATAGATAGATACATCTGCCAGAACTGGGAAATACATGGTCCATAACTTACTCACTATATTCAGAACAGTTGGCTGGATTCAATCCCCAACTGAAAGATTTATACCATCTGGTACCTGGACGATCATGCATGGTGGATCTGAACAATTTATTCTATGGAAACTGACCTCTGATAAAGTCTCATGTTGTTTAGTAAATGTATTTTTCAGTAACAATACTCTGTCATACTGAAGCTGCAATCTTTCACTGAATAATTTTTTGCATTCCTCTGTAAGTCTTCTTATATCATTATTTAACTGATCTACCTCCATCTGCTCAGATTCTGATAAATGTGATGTCATTTCCTGTTCAAACAAACACATGTTAATAACTGCTTAAAATGGAATACTGAAAACAATTAACAATATTTGTTCATAATGTCAAAGAACATGTTAAATATAAATCAGAATAATACCCTGTGCAACTTTCTGCGATGCATTTTGATTTGGATGGAAGGTCTTACATTACTGATGTGATTGAAAAATTCCTGTAACCTATCTGGGCCATATCACATCTACATATCGGAGCCATAGTGAAAGTTTGTGAGTTGCCGTGTCAAGAGCAAATGTCTCAAAATGCTCCATGAATATGTTAGAGATGTCCTGATGAAAAATTTTAAGCGTAAACTACCATCTTCAGATGATGTTCAGTTAAGAAAAATTCATAAATGATGATAAATGGAAAAAACTACACCTTTGAATTACAGGTCACTTGTACATAAAGTTACTTTTACGTGTGCAAAGAGCTTTAAAACTTTTAAACAACATTTCCTTATCAACAACAACAGCTGAGATTTCTTGTTTTTGGCAAGAAAATAATTTTAATTTAAATCAGGTCTATGCATGGGTAAAAATAAATCTAACCCACTACGATCCATGGAAATCAGGAGAGGATGTATAGATCCTATACCTATGTGTGGGTATAAATATTGCAATAAAACTAAAATTTTGCTTTCTGGAATGCCACCTGTATGTATATTCCTGAAGTGCATAAATGAGTCACTGAACTTTTTTTATATATGATATTTATAAGGAACCTTATGAATGAATAATTAAGTAGAAATGCCAAGTTAATTTTAATGATTAAAGCATATAATGACAATTTTCTTTAAGATAGCTTTAACAAATTTCATTAAACTTCTTTAATTTAAACAGAGGATAATTCTAAGTAACACGGTATGGAACACAAATACAGTTCGTGCAATGGATTTTTCACTACCTATTTGAAGGTAATTCAAGTTGTGTTGAATGAAGAACTATGTTTTTGTGAAAATAAGAATGTAAAAATGTAGTTTTCTTCATAACTTCTTATTTAAACATCCACCCTACTAATCTTGGATACAACCATAACAGTCCATAACTTACATGATTTAGTTCACTCTCAAGAGCAGTCCTACGAGCCTGTAGTACCTCTAGGGTTGAATGATACTGTTCCTGTAACTTTTCTTTCTTTGCTCTTACTTCTTTCACACCATCTAAGTCATCACTTAGCAGAATCTTACGTGACTTCACATGTTCACTAGCACTCCTGAGAAAGAAAACATTAAAACTGTTTAAAAAACATAATTTGTTCATGGACAGTGATGTGTAATTATTAAATTCAGCAATATGCAAAACTACATTATGCTGATATTAAATACTAGTTCAATTTCACAAAATAATCAACTTTGAATATTATCCAAGTTTAACCAATGTGTACTAAATATAAGCCTCTTTCACAGACACAGATAAAAGCTCAAGAAATACCCCAGTGGACAGACTCATAAACTTTTTCCAGGTAGATTTATTTTTGGCCTTTAGATATGGTTTCAAAGTAATGTAGTGTGAGTTTTAAAGGACACATGGGGTACATATCCTTGATACAGATTATTAATAGGTACTCAATTGATGTTGGCTGTCTTCTGGGATTATACACTACTTAGTCTGGTACATACTGACTGATATGATCAGGGTGATCACTGTGATGATGGAGGCAGTAAGCTCTTCTGAAATGTTAATCAATATCTACCAGATTACCCAGTGTAACATCCCAGAAGACAGTCATCTTTACATTCATCACTCAAGTCTCATCAAGTACTCAATTATTCAATAAGTTCCATACTGCTGTTAAGTCCAAAGAATTATGACCTTTTCCACAACCTACTGTCTTAAGATACATTTTAATATTACCCTGCCTTCTAAAACTTTATTTCCCAAGCAGTTTTTTTTATATCAAGTATTCCAACCAAAATATTATAGGCATGTCTTGTTTCTGTAAGGGTCTACATATCCCAGTAACTTCAGCCTCTGATTTAATCACAAGACAGCTACTCATTATCTAATTATATCACACCCCACTTCCCTTATGTCAAAATATTTTCAGCATCTTGTTTCCAAACATCTTCTATCTTTATCCTTCATTCAGAAAGAGAAACATAGTTTAAACACAGAGATGACAATGAACAAAATTGTTGTACCGTGTTTCTTCTTTACCTGTACTTTGATGATTTTAAAACTGGCAGTAGTGGTAAATGTAGTGTGCTTACCTCACTGATACAATGACATTACCAAGGGGTCACAATCCCATATAATTCCCTTCTAAATCCACTGCCACACTAACCCCACTTCCATCGCTACATGAGAAGATAAATGTTAATATTGTTTAAATCCCCTACCGACTTAAAACATACTCAAATTAATACACTAAAACAAAGAGTAAAAAAATAACCTAACACCCAAAACAAAAATTTAATATTTTAAGTTGTAGTATCCTTGCACTAAAGATTCAGTTTGGTATGGACTGTCAGTTTCAAAACTTCATATAATAACAAATGACAAAAAATGTTTTACTATCATCAGAATGGGTTTTAAGGCTGCACTGTTAATTTTATTGGAGACAAGTTGTAGCAAAATATATGCTGACAAGATTTTGAATTCACAAAGAATTTACCATATGGAAAATTACACAATGGAGATTTACTTTATCATATCACTGACAATAATATGTTGTGAAATTTTAACAGATTTGTGATACCTTGTTATCCTGGATTCAAGTAAAAAGGGTTTTACAGCTATAGATTTTTCAAATCATGAGCAGAATATAGGGAGTATATAAATTCTTTAGTAAAATTATTTAATGACAAAAAAGCTGATAGTAATCTGAGTACTGGGCTCAAACCACTAATCTTTACAATATCAACATAATGCTCTGACCAAGTGAGGTAACTGCTCTTATAATAATATAGTTTTAATGTATAAATAAAAACTAGCTGTTCTTTACAGCTGTAATAATTAGTAAAGCAATTAAATATAAATATTTTTACTGCATTGGAGAACATAACTTTCTGCAGAGTCATTAGTAAACACGTATGCCAAGATCTTAGTAAAACTACATTTGAACAGTTATTCATTGATTCAGCTATGCAAGAAGGGCAGTAAAATAAAAATGTTCATCAAAACAACAGCAATCCATGAAAACAGAAAGAAATCATGAAATTATTAGTAACCTAATCTGACACCCTTCGGTTAAGAGACAAAGAGAAAGAGATGCAGACAAAAAAAAAAAGCTATGTAATGAAAAACTTACTTAGCATTCATGATCTTTCTCTCTAGTTTCTGTTTATCAGTGGTATACTGTGTCATCTCATCTCTGATATCTTTTATTTCATTTTTTATTTTTTGGACTTCTTCTTCTGTTTCATTTAATAGTTTCTGCAATAAAGTGTAGTTTTTGTACACCAATATTGTTGACCTTGATTTATCACGATAGCCACCACACAGTGATCCTGATCGCAACGCCTATGAAGAAAATTATATGGATTAACATTTAAAATATTCAAATGCATATGAAGTAAATGAAGGTATACAGCTTATGCCACCTGTGAAAGAACTTATTTGTATTCATCAGCACTGTAACATTCCCAGAGTTTAAGAAGATTTTGGGAGTGCTCATTTTTAAACAACTTTTTACTAATATTTCTTCTGTAGCAGAAAAATGTAACTAAAAATGTTTTACTACTCAGTACAGTTTTTCTGATTATAGTAGGGCTATTGAAATTGAGAATGTCTGATGACAGTCATCATGAAAGGTAATCCTACATTCTCTTTGGCTGCAGTTCTAATGTTGTTACGGATACTTCCCCTTGACATTATTAACACTGATTTAACCTTTATCATACAAGAATAAGGGATTAAAACTCTCCATTCCACGGGGCTGCCTGCCAAACTTTAATTCTGGGTTTATGGTTTAGCAGTAAATTAGGGCAACTCTCAATAAGCTGTACTGCACATAAGCCACGATGAATCGTTGATAAAGGTTAAATAGTTTTTTAACTTTCTTCTAGATAACTAGAATCTCAAAATCTATCTGAGATTTAAAAATGATACCCTCATCTAATTTGTAAATACATTTAAGTCTTCTTATATTAAACCGTGAAAGTGTTATGTTACATGTTTAAAGTCTTCTGGATGTCAAAGAATAACATATGTAACATAAAATGTCAACTCTTAAATGAAGTACTGTAAATTTAATAAATTTCAAGAATGTTAGATATTGTGGTCTTACAAATTTTATAAAGTTGTTTTTAAATTTAAACTGTATCGCAATGCATTCAAAGACTTCTTTTACAGTACACAGACAATGAACTTTAAAATACTCACCTGGTCTCCTTCGAGAGTAATACAGTCCAAATGATATTCATCAACAAAATGAAATGCAACTTGCATGTTCCTGCAGAGAACAGTTCTCCCAAAGACATTTTTCATTGCTTTATCAAACTCTTGTACATACTGCAACTTCTGTATTAGTGGGAAAGCATCCTGTTTGTTGGAACATACATATATTGTTTAGTAATACTAAGTGCAAAACTCTTGTTCCTGACAATTCAACATAAAGAAGAATGATTATGGCTATTAAAGTTAAGTGCTGTTTCATTTCTGTCCTGTCAAGGCTGCTGATATTGTTGACATCAATAAGATAAATTATTCAATAAGACTGACATTCATTTAAAAATAGACTCATATTAATTCTTTATATAAAAATAGCTAATAAATCATTTGAGAACAACAGTAACAAATCAGAATTGCTTTCCTGAAGAATTTAAGAACAGTCTATATTTGAGGGATGCTTGCTATTATGCAGTTCATAAACTTTTGTCTTCCATCTAAAACCATAAAGATAAAAATATATAAAACTAGGTTTCCTATTGTTTTGCATGGGTGTAAATCCTATTCTCTCACAGTAAGGGAAAAACATGGCTTCAGGGTGCTTAGAAGAATATTTGAACCTAAAATGGATGAAATGACAGGAAGCTGGAGAAACATACATAATGACAGTTCCATAGCTCATATTCTTCACCAAATATTATTAAGATTATCATATCAAGAAAGACTGGATGGATGGGACATGTAATGTGTATCAAAGAGATGATAAATACATACAATGTTCTGGTTGGAAAGCCTGAAATAGATCACAAGAAAGACCTAGGGAGGAAAATATTACAATTGATCTTAGGGAAATAGGATTTGAGGGTGTAAATTGGCTTCATCAGGCTCAGAATAGGGACCAATGGTGGCTTTTATGAAAACAGTAATAAATCTCCAGGTTTCACAAAAAACAGGACATTTCTTAACAAGCTGAGCATTTATTACTTCTGAAGGAGGACTCTGCTCCATGGAGTTAGTTCTAGTAAATTCTTGTACTTCATTAAATTTCTCTATTATTTAATTTCCATGGAAAAACTGACTCAAAATTGCCTGTAAGATTCTACCCTGTGTATCTAGACTGGCTCTCAAGCCCACTTAACCTCCTATTCAGTGTGTACTGGAATCCTTTCCCCCAGGGTAAGTCAGGTTAGACACCTCCATCAAGTGGTGAGTTAAAGAATGAGTAAGAGCTTTACCTCTTCTCCTTCCACCATTTGTGTCTTTATGACATGAACCAGGGACTGCTTTTTTATAAGTTCTCCACCATGATAGTTTTCTTCAAAACTAAAAATGATTAAACATGCATTAAATAATAGTATTCATATACATTGCACTCAGGCAAAATGCAGTTAGAGAGTTTTTTTGAGACAGTTCCCAGAATAAACTAAGTATATGGATGTCAGTCAAAGAAGAATGCTTATGATTCATTCCTTTTCTGGACCACCTCATTCTACACTAGTGTGTGAAAACTGAAGAATGTGTAGTTCCATCTAGGTACAAGAATAAAATTTGAAAACAATGTCACAGACAGTAAAGAATACATCATCTCTCAGTTCAAAAATCTAGCTCTGATTACTGTAGTAAACATGTTATATTAACATACTTGTTAAACCTGAAAGAGGGGCAAAAATCTCAAGGGATGTCCAAAAAAAACACAATTAAAAACTTACATTACTGACAGGGTAGTGAAGTTCTTTAACTGAAAGACGATTCAGAAGAAAGAAATTTATTTCCCCGTGCAAGTTACTGTGGTTAAATTCCTTTGTTATCTTGGAAGACACTTCATCAGTAGCCACAATGTGGTAGAAAAGTCTGTAACACACACAAAAAAAATTAAAATTTTATTGCAAAACTAATAGTTACAAGAAATTAACCTCTAAAGAGCAACCTCTATAAGTGTTTAAATCATACCTATAAAAACTGTGTAATAAAGAGTGCTGTTGAGAAGACAATTAATTGTAGCAGAAAACAGAATAACAGAGAAAATAAATTATATATAACAGTAATTATTTCAAAATATATCATTTTGTGTTCATCAAAACAAGATTAAAACAAAGGCAAACCATCAAAGGACCTTCTCTCTTACAAAAGAATCTCGAGGAACTTGCAAGCTGAAATGTGCGGTAACCCTAGAAATTATCAAGGTAATGTAGAAAGTGTGAATTAGGACCTCAAAAGTACATTGATAACATGGATAAGGGATAAAAAAGTCAAAAGTGGAAAAGTGAAATGTCATGTCAAAGTTGTGAAAAACTATGCTTACCACTCTGGTACCAAACAAACACCATACAAAATAAAATACAAAACAGCTAAAAATGTTGTATTTTCAGTCTTCTACCTCCAGAGAGAGGTGTGTTGACAGAATGAGTTTACAGTTTCTGAAACATACATCTGCAGAATATACTGTGCTTATACAAGTTTTTCTCTTATACAACTTACTTACATAGACACAACTGCCACATCTGTATACATAATTTACATGTGCTCTCAATTTAATTGTTTTTTATTGATATATGCTTATGTTTTGCCTATCAGGTCAATTCTAACCTTCATGTAATTTATCATCTCAATGTTGTTACTTTTAACATACGTATTACAATCGTAACATTTTTTAGAATTTCCCAACACGTTTAAAACATAAAACAGCTTTGAGAGTGTAAAATATATCACAAAAAAAATTAAACTGGGCGGTAACAATGTTCACTCAAGGGATAAAAAAAATCCTATTATCACTATGGATAGATGAGATCATAGAATGTGACCAATGAAGTATTCAAAGCAGAAATGTTTGTTTAAACATCATATAACCCATGTTAGAAAGAGACTGAACAATGTTTCTGTGTCAAATAACTAACACAGTGTTGGAGGACAAACTTTCCTGAACTAACATTGATACAAATGTCACAACAAAAGAAGATACAATACAACGGATCACATGGGGGTTAATTAAGTGGTATGAGAATATGTATATATATACATACATACAGTCATGGATGAACTGAAGGCTCATATGAGTGCATTAAGAGGAATCTGAGGTTTCAAGCTCATTTCAGTCTGCTGTGACAAGTCTCTATCATAAAAATGGCAAAACTTGTGGTAAGACAAACACTTCAAAAAATTTATACTATAAAGATATATATAAGGCTACGTGTACTTAATTCAAATTACTTCCAACTTAATACATTAGTACAGTAAGGCTAGTATAACACATTAGTGCAGTAAAGCTATTGTAACACATTAAAAGCAATACATTAGTGCAGTAAGGTTACTGTAAAGGTGGTGCCATAGTTATAGCAATTAGTTGCCAGTTTCTCATTGTGGAGGCCTGGGTTTGGGCCCAAGGCAGTCTATGTGGGATCTGTTGTGGACAAAGTGGCATTTAGGACAGGTTTTTCTCCAAGTTATTTCATTTTTCCCTGTCAATATCATTCCACCACTGCTCCATATTCACTCGTTATTATACAGGGCTGGATAATGGGCCTATTAGCAGCTGCAGTTCCCCAGAGACATAGTCTCCCTCTTTTGAAGCATAATAATACTACTCTTATACATTGGTACAGTAAGTTTATTGTACTACTGCATGCTCATTTTCATGGACTTCACAAATTCAAACACAAAATTCATTCATAAACTGAAAAGTAGCATCAATTCCAAACCTCGAGAAATTTTTGGACACTGTTCTACATTATTTAGAACAGGAAGTTGGACAGAAAAGTCACAAACGACAAAAGAATATATTTTCACCAGCATTTATCTGGCAACATAAATAAACTGTCTAATGTGCAATCAGAACATTTTTCCCTCCAAAAACACATGCCAGATAAGTTTATCTTCTAAAACAGAAGTCAAATAGAATAATGAAGAGAACAAAAAAATGTTTATTCAGATTATCCTATTTCATAAAACAATATAATCATTGAATTTGTAAAATTTGTCACAAGATACGTACAAAATATGTTCATTGTGTGGACAAACTTTATCTTGTAAAACATAAGGCACACACAAAAATTAAAGAGAACAAAAAATTCTGGTTTTACCCACCTGTTTCATTAGACATAACACAATTCTTGAATATGTAAAATTTTTCACAGATTGCCTCAGAAGTATGTTCAATACAAATTTATTTCACAAACCATACAAAATAATGGCAAAAAAAGTAGCTTGTTTTTGCTATATAAGTTCTGAATGTGTGACAGCCACAGGATATCTAAAAGACATGTTCACAGGAAAGTTGTCTTATCAAGAACCTTGACATTGACCTTAGTGTTCCATCAGTTTTGAAAAGTTGCTGAATTTGTAAGTCACAAGATACCTAAAATTACTTTCACTGTAGCATATCTAAAACAAAACTATTAATTTTTGAAACAGCAGATTGTTAAATTTGTAAGTCACACAGTGCTTGAAAAATATGTTAATCCATTCCTCAGTACATATTTAGATTCAAGAACTGTCATGTATCTTCATTAAATTTTATTTTGTGGAGTTTTACTAAAATATGTCAAGAAATTGAAATTTTTATTAAGATTGATAATAACAATGACCACCTTAAATGGAAGTATTCACACATTTAAAAGTGTATCTAAAAAATATGTCACTAAATACTAACCTGAAGAAGACATTTTTAAAAGTGCACATTTCGAGTCAGATGTATTCTTTAACAATTGTAATGTATTTGATACATTTCAGAAATATATGAACTTCAATATTTAACTTCAAAAGGCATGTGCAATATTATAGATTGCTTAGATTGTTGTGTTATCTTAGTAATTCTCACACTACTTCATACAAAGTGCATAAAACAAACACACAAAAGGGAGAACGTGTTTAACCATTCATCAGTCTTGTTTGTTTACATTTAATCCTCAAATTACTGAAAATATTTCGATGAGATTTGGTATTGGGAGTCTACACCAAATGATTCCAGGTAAAATTAAGTTACAGTATTATTACATGCTACTTTCACACCAGACTTAGCAAAATAAAGTTTGTATTTGTATACATGTTCATATGGTATATTATTTTGCTTTCAAAAATTCACAAATAAAGCACTTTGAGCTGTTCTGTATAACCCCTAACAAACCTATAGTGCAGCATGTGTTGATTCTTAGCTTTTTTTTAAGTAATTTTTGGCACAATTTGTTCACTGTCTATTCATTTGACAAAATGTTTCAGTCCAATGTGGATATCAGGTTAAATACCCTGCTTTTAAGCCATTGCACTAAGGATCTCCTTCTGATGTCCATAAATAATAATAATAAAACTATATTTCCAAACGCTTTAAATTAGTTTAAATAGTTAAAGTTTAAAATTAAAAAAATCAATAAAAATGCTTTTAACACTGTCTGATGAGTCCCAGTATGTTTCTTCTGATTTATTGCAGTCAGACGTCCATATAGGTCTGTATTGGCATGGTCAAAGATTTTCTCCTGTGTAACAAACAGTATCTTATATATGACTACTGACAAATTTTGTCATAGCACTCTTTAAAAAATTAAATGAGCGTAACTACAAATATAAATAAATGCATTTGCATATTTTCAGAAAACGTTTGTAAATACATGCCATGAAAGTAATAATTACACTAAACACCAATTAAATTCACCAATATTTGGAGTCTTACAGCCACACACAGAAATTTTATAGCAGTAGCAGGAAGTCTCAAGTTTCAGACCAGCCAGATATAAAAGAAAAACATTGTGAATGTGAGAAATACCAGACATCCACACCCTACATTATGTGCTGATCCCAGCCATAATCATAATCTTCACTACAATCATATCACTGAGGCATAATGGAAATCCTGCCCACTGTGTAGGTTCCTACCTTCAGCATAGTTGGGTAGGCAGAGGACAGGATGGTCAAAAACACAACACACAGTACAACATTATTGTATAGAAGGACTCAATAAAGCAGGGGAAATTTTCATGCACTTTCACATACATTTATTCAGTTCATATGATTTTGTTTTACAGATTATCGCACTGATGGCTGTGCTTGCTGCTACTGCTGCAAGTCCTCAATCAATCTTTGATCCACTGGGTATCTTTCAAGGCGTCATTAATATTTTAACAGGGATTAAACCTGTAAATCAAGCACCCAAAACAACAGCTGCTCCCACCACAGCACCACCTAAAAGTTCTGTTCCTACCACAGCAGCACCGACAAGTACTACTCCCACCACAGCAGCACCTACAAGTACTACTCCCACCACAGCAGCACCTACAAGTGCTACTCCCACCACAGCAGCTACAATTGTTTCTAGCACAGGAGCATTTATAATTGCTGATCCCACAGCTGCACCTATCAGTGCTGATCCTTCCACAGAAGCACCATAAGTTCTCCTAGCACAGCTGGAGCCAAAACAACCTCTCGAGGAAAATATTCATGCACCAGTATTACTGAACACAATATATAAAACATCACATATATTTTCAAAATATTATATGTTATGTTATTTACAACAAGCAATGTAAATGATGTATTGGACATAATAAAATTGATACTATAAAATGTGGTAAAAAGTCACTGATTTTTATTAAACTTCCTATACTTTTGCAAGGATGTATAAATTATCGAATCAAACAAGATGCAGATAAGGTTGTAACTTACTGTTTCTATGGATCTATTGTGTCATCAAATAAAGACAACCAACCTTACAGACTGGAAGTATGATTCTGAAAGGACACTTTTATAAACACCTGAATGTCTGATTTTAAGAAGCCTTAAGGTGTGCTGTCCCTTATTCTGTTGGTTTTTATGACACACAATGCAGAGTTATAATTATATAATAAAGCAGGTTACAGTGAGATACTTTTTAGCATTCCCACTAACCACTGAACCTCTCAGGTGGAAGAGTCAAAATGCTCCTCCTGTCACATGATCCTTGCAGATACAACAAACTTATAGATTAAACATATTAAGAATAAAATTCACCTCTATTACAACAGATGATGGAAACGATCTCTGCTGTTCTACATGCATTCCTAGCACGTCTGCAGAAAGTGTACATTCACATACAAGTAATGAAATCCATGATAGCTGTTGTCATTTTCTGGGGTGTACAAAAAAATCTCAATGTATTTCACAATGCAAAATGGCATAGGTGAAGCCAAAGTGAGACAGAATTCTTCTAGTCTCTCATTTATATAATATAAGACCTTTACTGGTGCTCCTTGTAGTGGTACTTGTGTCTATGTACCATACCTAAAATGGTCCAAGTCCACATTAAAAGTTGTCTGAAATATCATGTTTCTCTATCCTAAAGATTTATTTACAAAACCTTATCCATACACAAATTACTTATATAAATATGGATTAGGACCTTATCTTATGATGGGTAATTGCATGTCCTGAGTGATAGCATTAGGCTCAAAACCACAATGACACTGATCATTCACAAATTTAATTAGAGGTGTCACAAAATGGAGAAAGAAAGTTTTTCTGTTCAAATCATAGTTCAATCTGTTTCCCAAACAGCCAAAACAAAATACTTACATATCAAAGAAAGCTAAAAAAAATTCCTTTTGTGACAATACTGGGTATTCAGTACCTTTACACTATATCAATTAATTGTTTCTTTTGATGAACTTTGTTCTAACACTTGCATCAATGTTTGTTCAGGTTTATCAAATAGCTGATGCTTCATTAAGTTTCTGATGTAAAAGTGATTAAGCATTACACTAACCTTCCTATAATATGAAGGAAGAAAGCAGATGACATGGAGTAAATCAGTATTATACAGAAATATATTTTTGTTTTTTAATTGAATTGAATAAAACTAAGTAGTTCTAGTTCCCTCAATCTAACACCCCTCAATTGAAACGATCTGATTTTGTCATTACCATTCATGAAACTCTGAAAACAAAATCCATTAAAATATATCATAGAAATCAAATATTTTATTAACTACATGGTTTCATTATAGTGATCAAAATGATGAAATGGGCAGGACATGTAGCACACATGGGGGAGATGAGAAAGGTACTCAAAATCTGAGTCAGAATATTTGAAAGGAAGATACTGCTTGGTAAAATGAAATAAAGATGGAAGGATAATATTAAATTTAGTCCTACAAATAAAATAGTCTGAATTGGATTAATCTGGATTAGGATATGGTTCAGTGATGGGATCTTGTGAATATGACAATGAAACTTTCCTTTAAATAAAAGGTAGGCAATTTACTTACCAGTTGAGTGGTTATAATCAATTAAGCACTACCCAATAAGAAGAGTACTGCACCATATTCATTTGTAAGGCTGACAAAAATGTGAAAATTATGGAGAAATTGGCTGCATAAGTGCCCATTAAGGACACTACAAAGGGAACAAATTTGTACACAGCTTCATTAGTTGAAGCCCTACTGACCTTTTTCCTTTAATGTAGGTAAAGGAAGCAAAGAAATTATTCAACGGCTGTGAATTTAATAGGGAAAATGTCAAAAATACTGTCAGATACAAACTCAATATTCAATTAACAAAAATTACAAAACCAGGGAAAGCTATCAAACATTAGTATTATATATTATATAAAATCCAGTTTGATGTTTGTTGCTTTGTTGTAGATTCAGTTCCACCCAGAAGACTGAAAGTTCTCAGTAATGGCACTAGATAACAAAATATTCTACACTGCAATTATTGCTATCATTAGGATGCTTTCAGACGTATTTATAATATGTGTGACAAAAGCATTCAAATAACATAGTGTGTAGCACAGCTGATGTTTTTCATTTTGTTCTAAGTTGAAAGGAATGGGAAATAAATACAGGAGAAAAAGAGAAGGTGATAGAAGGAATGATATGGACAAAGGAAAGAAAGAAAGTCCAAAGGGAGTAAAGGATGAACATACAAATGAAATCATTCCCAGCTGAGCTTCAATATGTCTAATTATCATCATAATGATTCATATTAATCATTCCGTGATACATAATTAAAGTAATGTATAATTATGCTGTATATAAGTAAATACTGATATTACATAAAATTCCTGAACTGAACAAGTGAAACAGAAATCTGTCCACTCTATGTGTAGAAGGGTTTTGTGTTTATAAGGGGCTGCAAGCCAGATATTAGTACCATGATTTAATAGTTTAACAGCAAGTTACTGCAATGCATGGTCAACCAGAATATGCATATGCCATCCCATGACAGCAGATAAAGATTTAAATATTGTTGGGCTCTATTTTACGATAAAATACTAGAGCTCTGTGGCTAATTAAGGATAGTATTGCCATAAAACGTCAAGTCTTCTAACACCAAGCAGAAGGAAAATACTCTTCAGATCAATGTCATAACAATTATCTGCGTTAGGCAAAAGTGAGAATACGTAACATTTGTAAAGTCTGAACATTGAATTGTATCAGACCAAAAATTTTTAATTTGGAATGGCAGAGAGAAGAAACACTGCAAGATATTTAAAACTGGGGTGGTGGTATGCTACTGTATAACACTATATTATATTACAAGTGAGCAAAACCTCCTTGGGAGCCAGCAGTTCTGGCATACCACAAGAGGGAGCTGGTGGTTACTACATACCTGGGGATGAAGGTAACCTACAATAGGAAGCCTGCAATGTAGGCAGGCTTCGTCCGACTGGGACAAGGTATTTATAAGTACAAGGAGGAAGCTTAAAAAGCCAAGAAGAGCCAAAGTAATATCAGGCACTCACAGCAAGCTGGGTACATGGTACTATCCAAGTCCAGGGAGGCCCTGACCAGGGTGCTTAAAAGGGCAGTACCCTAATTAAAGAGGTCAACCCACTCCACAAATCCAAGGACTTTATGAGACCAGGGACATATATGGAGGCTTTGATTATGGCTGCTAATAGCACAAAGCTTCCATCTGAAAACAAGAACCTCTCAGCAGGGATCCAGCAGTTCTGGTATACCACCTCAGGAAGCTGATGGTAACAGCCAACCCAGGGAAGCTAAGAAGACAACTGCTCCTTGATGCCCGTGGGACAAAAATGGAACATGGGAATTAAAAGAGAACACAGTGGAAGCCACACAAAAAAGCTTGTCTAACATACAGCCTCCTTCTGAAAGTTGATTTCTCTCATTAGGGGGCCAGCAGTTCTGGCATACCACCTTAGGGAGCTGACAGTATCAGCCAACCTGAGAAACTGAGAAGACAAACATGAGATCCTGCTGCATAAGATACTATACTTCATGGGATGTATGAGGCTGCTAGTGAATTGAAGAGAATGGGGATGAACAAAGATTAGGAAATGGTCACACTGCAAGGGTTAGTTAAGCACCAACCCCATTCACATTCATTCAAGTGAGAAAAATGTCAGATGTCACTGATTGCCAAAAATTTTCTTTAGATTCCCTCCCACATACGATCAGCCAGGCAACATTTATTAACACAAACATAAAAGTTCAAAATAAGGTGAACTCAGAATCAATTGTTTATGCTAATACCATACCGCTTATTCTAAAACCTTAGTTCAATAACACTGCATCATAAATAATAAATAATAGGATAGTTACCAATGGTAATTTAAGAAATAAAAGAGACATCACTTATTATGGTAGTACTGAAGCATCTCTTTGGACCCTCTTTTAAAACCATTCAATACATTCACTTACATGAATAAGGTTTAAAACAGGGCCTTCTCGTACAACAGCGGTTTATAAAATAATGTCATATTAACAAAAATGTGCTTTGTAATTATTTACAATACTTCACAAGTATTTAATAACAATAACATGTACTTCTGCATTATATTAGTATATTTATGTAACAAAATTAATGAATATCTGGACATTTACACCTGAACCAATATTTATACAACTCTCCATCAAGGATGTGTTACGTACTTGAAGAGACAATAAAATGTTCTGAATTTAGTATATATAAATGAGTGTGGCCAACCATTTGAAGCAAGTGCAGGGTAAGAAGTCTGCATAGAAAAACTAGTATCTGACCTCCAGTGATACCAACTGCAACTAAAAAATGGCAAAGTTTATGGTAAGTGTACGTATGTAATAATTAAATCGTTTCTCTACTTGCATTATGTTTCTCACCAAACTAAATTACATGTGTGTACATTACATCCAGATTAAATAACTCAAATAACAAAAAGGAAATGTTGGTCAATAAAAGTATATAGAGGCAAACTACACTGGAAAACTATAGCACATACAAACAGGATAAAATTAAATAAACCAAGAAAATAAATAAGTAAAAAAAAATCAGGCACTGCACTAATAAACCAAACTTTAACAAGAGAAAGCTTTGTCCTATGAAGGTACTATTTTATTAGAGGCACTATTTATTTACATTACCTTAATTTTTATGCTTGCTACTGACTAAAATAAACCAAAGTGCTACGCACAGAATGTGTGGCTATGTGTAATGTATAAATCTATTTACCTGTCTTTTATCAGGAAGAGTTATAAAAAATTTAAAAAATACAAAGTGTATTAGAAGTAAAAGAAATGCATACAATCATTATTTCTTCTGTCACAAATATAAACCTTCACATTTCTACAAACAGCTATCTTCAAACATTTACAATTATAAAACAAAAACAAATCAAAAATGTATGCAACATGAAAGAGAAATTATTTCCTGTTGTATTATTCTTTCAAAATTAAAACATGGCAAATAACCCAGTCTCACATATCTGTAATCATACGAATCTGAATATACATTACATTCACACCCACATTATTCTCAAAACCGTTAATACTTAATACAACATTCTGTCAAGTTGAGAATCATTTACAAGATACCCAATTCATCAATAAGTTTAGCCCATATAGCCATACTTTTTTACCTCTTTCACCATTGCAAAAATACACATTTTTTTCATTCTCTGCCCTATAAGCATATAAGAAAATAAAATCTTTTGTTATTCAAATTAAATAACCATCTCAACAGCTGCCACAGAAATATAGTGCATGGTTGTGGCTATTTCAATGAAATAAGAATTTCAAATTATCTAAAACAATATTTGAAAAAAAAATTGTCACACGCATACACACAACACAAAGATTTAAATTATTAATTCTTCCACATCATCATCTTCTTATTCTTCTTTTAACATCATTCACATTTTTAAATGGGTCAATGAATGAAAATTCTCCAACCTCTCTGATGTTCGTACAACTGTTCCATGTTTCTTGCCAGCTCCTCTCTCTTCTTGATGTTTAGTGATACCTGGAAGTACCATCCCTTTCTGAGTCATTATGAGCCTCTTTCCTTTAAATACATGTGTATAAACTCTCCACGCAGTCATCTTATTATTTTGTATCATATGGGTTCTCTATAGACAAGTATCACAAGTTCTGCCTGTTTACAAAGGCTGAGAGATGAAAATGTGCTTCACAACTCATTAACAGATGATCAGTGATGTCTGAAGTTCCAAAATATATCTGCAAAATGTCAGTCATGTTTATTTATTTGTTTTGAATATTCCTGGATGATGCACATCTTGTATAAATAAATTTGCATGTGTTAAATTCTTCAACAGTTCAGTCAGATACGCCCAGAACTGAAGCGTGTTACTAAACAGATCTTTGAGGACTCCAAATAATATTTCTAATGTTTTTAATGTCTCACACATAGGAATTAAAGATTCCTGGCTCAAACATTTTGTCTCACACACTTCGTCTTATACCATCTCAGTATCCACTTCCACTTATTACATTATGAGAAGAAACCCTACATACAATAACTTTAAGCAACATGATGTTCCACTGACTGTTACATATTTCAGCTGTTATTTGTGTTCCCAACCAAATTTTTGTACCTATGACCTTGCAAACCTCTCCAGTTCTTGCATTATTTAATACTACTAAACATAAAAACATCAGTCTTCTCCGCTGTACCCTGTACAAATTGCTGTGTGCTCAGCTACCTGTGCTTACATCACACAAGGGCTTCTAGGAGCCACATGCCCTCAGTATTTTCAAGTTTTTCAGATTCTGATAACAGTTGACTGTAGTTAAATTCTAGCTGATTGATATTTTTGCAATGAACATTAGTGATACAACACAACATAATAAGGGACTGTAACCAGTCAATACGGCCAGTGTGTGTTCTTGGTACAAAGACCAAGATGACTACCTCAGTAAAGCTCTTTCTTAGCTTAGACTTCTAATGAAAATTTCTGTAACACTGATATTGTACAAGGCACTGACTTTATGATCATATAGTCAACAATGGCAGGCACTGCCCTCCCAAACACAATCAATTAATAAGATAGCAAACATAAGTCATCATCATCAAGAAACAAACTGAAATGTCATGCAATCCTCAACAGATATTTTTTTACTATCAAATATACCATTCATTCCCTTCAGTTCTATGCAGATCAATGTGTATAGTACTCTTCTGAAGCATATTACAAATGACTATATGGACATCAGTAAATTGCTACTCCAAATTAATTTGATTAGCATGTGAAAAACTCTTACAGAACAAAAAACAGTACCAAACACTTTATAAGAAAATTATAAAATGCTAATAATAACAGATCTAACTTACAATTTCTCTGCTAAAGTTCCCTAAAACATAGAACTTCCCTAGCATGGAACTGATACTGAGAAGTTCAACCTTCCTTTTAGCCCTTCGACACTGGCCTCAGCAAGCCATATTGACTCTCATGCCCTATGAAGTGTCTCATTAAATTCACCTGTACAAGCACGCCACTGCTGTTACTCAGAAGGTAATTTTGGAGCTTTGTATATAAGGTTCTCACCTTCCTCCTAGTACACTTACGTGCTTATTTCAAGCATTACACTGCCTTATTAGTACATCAGCAATGGTCATGAGCGAAGAAATGTTTACAAACTTCTTAAAGCTCCAAAGTCTGGTATCTGTAGACCATTCTTGGAGGCAAAGACAATGTGTTGCAATTAAAACAAAGAACTGAAGCTTGGTACATAGTCTTCTGTTCTCAACTAACTTCAGATATTTTGCTTGCAAAATTTTCACTTATCACTTGCAGTGACAGCTTATAAATCTCATGTACATAAAAATGTCTCAAGCTATCTACCTTATAGCTATCCATAATATCATTACAAAATATGAGTTCCTGCTATTTAGAGCCAAGATGGCCTGTGAAATAATGTGTTCATTTAATTTACTATAGTGCTGCATTTATGGGGTCAAAATACTTACATACCCCACTACCCCAGCTGTAGATTAAGATTCCTTTCAAATGTCCTGCATTATCCAAGGGTCACCAGACACTCTGTGATCAAGTCTATACATGTGTGTACCAATGTTGCAAATTAAACACAAGTGTACAATATAAGATTTGAGGTTTTCACAGCGGTGAGTCTGAAGATTGCTGTCTTCTGGGTTATTGTGCCGTGTAGTTTGGTAGATTTCAACCAATGTTTCATAGGTCATACTGCCTGTCATCGTCCTGATGATGGAGGCAGTATGACCTCTGAAACGTTGGTGGAAATCTACCAGACTACAAGGTGCAATAACCCAGAAGACAGCAATCTTCAAGTGTACAATAATTCTGAATTGAATATATAAAAAATGTTTAACCTACATAGAATTAATGAATGTGAGAAAGCCCACTACATACAATATTCACAATGTCTCATCTTCACATGGACGTTCTGTTTTTCAGATTGCTCTGATGGCAACTCTTGCTGTCTGTGCTGCATATCCAAACCCACTAACCATCAAGAATCCTATCAAAAGTATAATAGATGATAAGATAAATGACCTCCTTCAGATTATTAACTCAGTATCTAATGACATACCTGCTCCTTTCAAAAATGCACCTGCACCCCCTGTTCCACAAAAAGATGTGCCCAAACCTCCTGCTCCTTCAAAGATACCTCCTACAGTGGCTGATCCTCCTGCAGATGCACCCATAGAGGATGAACCTCCTACTGTGGCTGATCCTTCTGCAGATGCACCCATAGAGGATGAATCTCCTACTGTGGCTGATCCTTCTGCAGATGCACCCATAGAGGATGAACCTCCTACAGTGGCTGATCCTCCTGCAGATGCACCCATAGAGGATGAACCTCCTACAGTGGCTGATCCTCCTGCAGATGCACCCATAGAGGATGAACCTCCTACAGTGGCTGATCCTCCTGCAGATGCACCCATAGAGGATGAACCTCCTACAGTGGCTGATCCTCCTGCAGATGCACCCATAGAGGATGAATCTCCTACTGTGGCTGATCCTTCTGCAGATGCACCCATAGAGGATGAAACTCCCTTAGTGCCTGATTCTCCTGAAACCGCATAATAGAGTTGAAGCTTCATAAAAATTTGTAAAGAACTTTACACTTTATGATTAACGAATCAGTCTAGTTACAGTATCAACAAACATCAAATTAAACAAAATGTTCTATTACAGTCAATATATCACTAGATTCCACTACCTGTAGCAATAAGCCAAAATGTAACTAACTAACTAAATAAAGAACGTTCCTCTCTATATCTGGTGTTGATAATATATGCAGCAAAACCAAAATTCATACAACGTAACCAAACTCTCTTCTATAATTGTGAGTATACGATACATCATAAAACAACAGTATAAGATCTGGTTTCTTCTGCAAGTAATTATGGACAAGCCTAGAGGCAGTTTCAAAACAGAAGAACTAGGAATCTCTCTTCACCATTCTGTCCAGAATATCTCCACTGCCCATTCAGGTTTCTGTATAGTTCACCACAAAGTTATTTCTTTATGAGTAAAATCATTGTATTTTGAAATGTATAATAAAATATTTTATGCATAAAACATTTATGTTTCACATGCCCAAAATTTACTATCATGAATTTTTTTATTTACAGCAAAACAAACATAATAAAACTTCATTTAAGTAAATGTGATCAAGCACAAATTTAAAAGTCCTGAGTTTGTTTATGCCATAAATGTTCCACCTCTAATATCTGCATCATCAGCATCTTAATACTTTAGGAAATTTAATCCTTTCTTTGCCAATAAACTGAAAGTAGAAAATGCAGAACTTGCCAATGATTAAACCCAGCTGATTCTTAAGACAGGCTATCTATACCTTGTAATTCATTCATAATTAAGTTTTATAGAGTGGTAATAGGAGATTAGATCCCAAACAGCTATAAATTTTCATATTTCCTAATGCTGCAAAGTTGGAAAAGGGTCTTCAGGTTAGTGATGCAATATCTGATAGGTCAAAGTGAGTATATGTGACATTTGCAAAGTTTCAAATTTTAAATGTGTCAGACCAACAATTCTTAATTTGGATTGGCAGAAAGAAGTAAAAAAGCAGGAAATTTAAAGTAAGATGGTACTCTACTGTGTAATACCACATTATATTGTAAGTGAGCAAAATGCCAAATATAATCTGTCACTGTGCCAAATTCTTTCTTTAGATTCCCTCTACAGACAGAGAGTCAGCTAATATTTACTAACCAAAACATAAAGTTAAAAACAAACCAAAGTCCAAATTTTATACTTGTCTGTCTAAAAAATAAAATATTGATAATAAAAACATGCTTTGTAAATATTTACAATGGTTCACGAGTTTCCATAACAAATAACATGTAATTCTCCATTGTGTTAGTGTATTTATGTGACACAATTAGTTAATATCGGGACATTAACAACATCTGAACCAATATTTATACAAGTGTCAATCAAGCATATTACGCACGTTAAGAGACAGACAAATGTTCTAGATTTAGTATATATAAACAAGCACAGCCATCCATTTGACACAAGTGCAGCATAAGAGTCTGCATAGAAAAGCAGTATCTGGCCTCTAGTGATAACAACTACAGCAAAAAAATGGCAAAGTTTGTGGTACGTATATCTAAATAATAATAAAATTATTACAGGTAAGGAATACCATACAAACAAAAATGTTGTACTGAAACAAGATACTGAATGGCCAGCACAACATATTACAGGTAAGGAGCACCATAAAACAAAAATGTTGTAGATGGCTGTCTTCTGGGTTGTTGCACCATGTAGTGTGGTAAAAGTTAAACTTCTAACAGATTGCATGGATTCACCACCATGAAAACCTCAAATCCCACTTAAAAACGTTGTATTACACATAAGCAGTAGCAATATATTACAAATATACTTTGTTTCACAGAAACACATAATGGGAACAGAACAACAAAAACATCTATGATGTGGAATTACCACTGTCTATTAATGTACATGCATTTTAAAGACCTTAATGATTTATATAACATTTTATATTAACAACTATTTGCAGTGACTTAAGTGCAGTCTACAAATTTTAATATGGCCAGTTCTTAGTCAAAACATGTAGTTCAAACATCAAAAATAATAGACATTTTACAATAGTGTACGGAGTATGACAAAACCGATAATACAGTGAGTAAAAAGTTAGGATGTTTAAAAACAAAGTTAAAAATGAGAACACACCAGAATGCTTCACTACAGAATCAAATTCATACTGATACTCCTCCAACCTTACTCTTCACTGTGAAAAATCCTACATACATGTAGCAATATTATTCATTAAAAACAAGTGTGCAACAATGCAGACTCAAACATAAAAAGAATTTTCAATCTATACAGAATGCATGTGATAAAGCATAATACATACAACCTTCACAATCATTTCTCATGCTAACATGGACATTCTGTTTTTCAGATTGTTCTGGTGGCCACTCTTGCTGTTTGTGCATCATATCCCTACCCACTAAAATTTATCAATCCCATTGATGTGATCAGAAATCAAATAGACAATACAATAAAACAGATTCTTCAGACTATAAATTCACCACTTATTATCAGACTACCTCTTCCTGTACCTTCTACTCCTTCAAAAGATGCACCCACAGTAGCTGAACCTCCTGCAGATGCACCCACACCGGACCAACCTCCTGCAGCGGCTAATTCTGCAGATGCACCTGCAGAAGCTGAACCTCCTGCAGATACACCCACAGAGGATCAACCTCCTGTAGTGGTTAATCCTCCTGCAGATGCACCTGTAGAGGCTGAGCCTCCCATAGTGGCTGATTCTCCTGCAGATACACCCATAGAGGATCAACCTCCTGTAGTGATTAATCCTCCTGCAGATGCACCTGTAGAGGCTGAGCCTCCCATAGTGGCTGATCCTCCTGCAGATACACCCATAGAGGATCAACCTCCTGTAGTGGTTAATGACCCTGCAGAAGCTGAAAATCCTGCAGTGGCTGACCCTCCTGCAGATCAACCATAGAAAATGAACTGGCCACAGCTTAATCTCAATATACAATTGAAGGTTCTTGAAAAGTTGTAAAGAACTTTACACTTTATGATTAACAAATCAGTCTAGTTACAGTATCAACAAACATCATATTCAACAAAATATTCTATTGCAGTCAATATTTCACATGATTCCAATTTCTGTAGTAATAAGCCAAAATGCATAATAGAAGCTGTACCTAACTAAATAAATAACGTTCCTCTCTATATCTGGTGTTGATAATAAATACAGCAAAACCAAAATCCATACAACATAACCAGACTCTCTTCTATAATTGAGAGTATACATTATAAAACAACAGTATAAGATCTGGTTTCTTCTGCAAGTAATTATGGACAAGCCTAGAGTCAGTTTCAAAACAGAAGAACTGAGAATCTCTCTTCACCATTCTGTCCAGAATATCTCCACTGACCATTCAGGTTTCTGTATAGTTCACCACAAAGTTATTTGTTTATGAGTAAAAGCAGCTGATATCCAAAGTTACTGCCATCCAATAAAAGGTCTGAATATGCAATAAGTGTTCTTCCATGTAGTTGGAATGGAGTTTCAGCAAATGGATAATGTCCCATACAAATTCTGTGTTCCTAGTAAAGATACAGCATTATAACACTTTAAAGATTCATGAAGAACCAGACACAAAATTTTAATTGAGAACCTCTGGATAAAGACCATCTAAAAATCCAACATATAATACAAAATATTTAGAACTTTAAAATAATTCTTACATGTCTAATTTCTGTATTATCAGAGGAAATATACTTCATGATTATTATAATCACTTTGTTTTCTTACAATGATTCATATCTGTGTCATTATGCATCAAATGGCTATAAAATCAGGCTTAAAAAATGCTTATGATACTGCACATATGATTATCTGGTTCATATAAGAGATTCAATGGACATCTTTTATGGCATTTATGGTTGGATTCAGATCTTTGGAACCAAAGATTTAGCATGTCTGACTTGACTAAATTCGTGGACTATGTCAGACGCAGATGAGAACACTCTCGGGTTACCTGCTACCATGCAGTTCATAATATTTTACCTTCCAGACTACTAACTAAACATTTGAAAATTAAAATATACAAAACTGTAATTTTAAATCTTTTCTTTTGCATGGGTGTGAAATTTGGTCTCTCACATTAAGAGAAGAACACGTACTTAGGGTGTTTGAAAGCACGGTGCTGAGGAAATATTTGAACCAAAAAGTATGAGGTGCCAGAAGGTGGGAGAAAATCACATAATGAGGAGTTCCACATAAAGTGTTCAAAGTCATCTATGCACACATACTTGAAAAATCTATTCAACCTCAAAGTGACTCATAAACACCTGATGTCACATGGACATCAGTAAATACAACCATTATGTTTCCTTCAGGTGTTTGGGCATTAAAACTCAAACTGTTGTGATTATGCTATAAGCTTGTACTGACTTCATGTTGAGAGCAGCAAGCATCAAGTGAAGAGACATTTCAAATGCATCACTTCCCACACAGTTAATCTCCCTGCAAAATGCAGTCCACACTTTCTGTAGTCCTAGTACTATTACACACAGTTTATGGACACATTCCAGAATCCTTATACATTTTTAAAAAACAAATACCAACAATATGTTCTACTTACCACAGATTAGTAAAAGTATTGTTGATGTCTTCATTCTTCAATATCACTGCTGCTACATGAAGTTAATGGGGTATTCAATGCATGAAAACACTGGTAAGTCTGTTGGTACCAGAATGAATACCTGTTGCATTAACCCTTTCAATCAATTAGAACTTTGATAAAGTGCACTTCTACATAGTAAGCACATTTCATCAGGAAGTCTGAGTGATGTCACAGCAATAACATGCTGCTGCTTGTAGTTGCATACTTATAACCTGAGATAAAAAAAGTTCACTTACCTCAAGCCATTAATCACTATTCCACAATCCACTAAAATAGTTAAAGCCACTATAAACCAAATAAATATTGTCAATTCAAAGTAATTTCCTAGCAACAGATCACTGAAACATTCACCATTCACGGTGCTCATCATGTGGTAAACTGAATGTTTATTGAAATTTCAAGTTCTCACAGTGTCAAGTATAAAGACTGCAATGAGTCATCACACTGATTATGGAGGCAACAAGCACCTTTGAAATGTCTGTATTCCAGACTACACTTAGCAACAACCCAGAAGATAGACATCTTTAGTTGAATGTTTTGTTCTACACGTATAGTGGAACAAACTGATGGCATGCATTTACAATACCGACTTCACTGTTACAAGAGATGTTCTGTAACGCTTACCATTCTTCAAGTTGACATATTTGGGTATTGACAAGTTATGAATGCATTAAAGAGGCTTAGAGTGATAACAGAAGACATGTGTAATACAAAGTTATTACTCATGACATATCCAAGAATTTAACAAGAGGTCTCATAGGTATTCCAAATACTTCTGACAGAAAGAAAATGGCTGTCTTCTAAGTTTTAACACCATGTAGTCTGGCAGAAGTTTACCAATGATTCAGAGGTCCCTGCTGCCTCCACCATAAGGGTAATCACTCATCACTACAACCCAGAAAACAGCATCTTCATACTCGCCAAATCCTATTACTTTAGAGAATTGACAGAAATTAAGATGTTATGAAATTGTATAAAATCTGCAGTAACCAAATGTAATACCTATCATCCCTTTCTCTAAATGTTAACTGATATCTGTTACATTCTTTTGCTTTGGTAGATGATGTTTATATGAGAAGTTTCAAATAAGATCATATTCAATAATTCCATATATCTGTACAAATGTCTCTAATTAATCATTCCTACATGTGTATCACTGACATGTTATCCACTCTGAAGTAATTTAACCAAGTCTTCCCTTTTAGTAAAAGTAAAGTAAAGTTTGTCCCACTATATGCCATGTAGGCGTTTGGGGTGAGTGGAGGTATAGCTCCTCTCTTCCTTGACCTCGGCACTAGATGGGGGTGAGTGGTCAGCATCACGCCCCGGCCGGCTTTACCCCCGGGAAAGGACCCCAGTACCCATTGGAGAGGAGGCTGGGTGGGCCCCAGAGCCGGTCTGGACGCAGAGGCTAGAGGAAAAATCCTCTGCCCCCGTTGGGGATCGAACCCCAGCCGTCCAGCCCGTAGCTAGTCACTATACTGACTGAGCTATCCCGGCTCATCTTCCCTTTTAGTACTAACTGAAAACTTAAGACACATACCTCTTACCAGCAGTCACTTCCACAGCAGTTAAGAGACTGTCACTGCATTCCAAGTTTTCTAGGACTGTCCCATAGTACCCACTAACAGAGGCTTCATCATGTCCTTGCAGTTTCTTCATTACTTCCTGTAGCCCTTCCAAACCTTCAATGACATTCTGTAAACATATATGTAGTGAAAAATTTGAGACTCAAGTTATTAAAGCAACATTTGAATGGCGATGAGCCTAAACAAAACTCACAGAATACCATTACTAATTAAGTTAGGACTACATTAAGTCTCAACGAAATTATGTGAGATACAAATTAAATAAGTTGAAATATAATATTTTTAAGCACATACCATATTGTATATAACATAACTACCATTTTTCAGTCAACAAAATTGTTTTCTTGTTTCATATAAGCATACATTGTACTTGGCAATGTTAGTGCATCTTCAGCCACCTGTTGCATCACACATTTACCAAGCTGGCTAAAAATGAATTTAACACTAAACATAAACAACAAGAACATGTCAGTACAAAAGAGGGGTACAGTCCTAAAAATAAAGTGCTCAGTAATCTGGAATGCAGTTCCAGACAGAAATAAATGAGTGTAAATCATTATATGCAGGCATTCTTGTTGTTACTTAATGGTAACTTTACACTTCCACATACAATTGCAGAACTGAATGACAAAAAAGTCATGAAATGAACAAATTTAAAGATGCCAGCAATTATTCCTCAAACAGAGAAGCCAAAAATTAAACAAGCTACTAGGTTTCTAGATGGGCATATTCCACAGATTATACTGCCCTCTATCTCTTCTCCCATCTGGTTTTCCCATAAAGATTTTCTTCACAGTCCTGGTGTTCTCCATTCTAAGTAAGTGACCTGCCATTCAAGTCTTCTGACTTCTATTAAAGTTACAATATTTGGTTTGTTGTACAATTTCTCAATTTCCAAATTAATGCGGATTCTCCATCCATTTTGGTCTTCAATACGACCAAAAATCTTCCTCATGATTTTCCTCTCCCATCGTTTTAGTTTACGTTTCATTTACTCAGTCATGGCCCATGCTTCACAACCATACATCACTAATGGTTTAATTATTGTATTATAAATCTGCAATTTAGATTGTTTTGATGGATATCTTGTTTTTACCACTTTAGCTAAAACAGATCCAAAAATGGGAGATGAGTTGGAAGTAAAACATGATTGGGCTCACCGATCCCCCACAATATAACTGATCTATGTAAGGGCAGATGGCAACTACAATGTTTGCTAAAATGTTGGAAATATTCAACATACCTTATCCCTGGAGACTGAAACTATACACTAAAATCGAAGTACAAAAACCTAAGGACAAAAAAGAACCAATGGTGGAAGTTTAGATTTTCTATAGCATGAAGTGGATTTTCTATTAACTTGAAAATATTAAATGATGTTACCTTGTCTGCTATTGAACACAATAACTGTTTGGCTTTGGTTAAGTCATCACGCAGAGAAGAGTGCTTCTGTTCAACTTCAGAATCCCTACGGAACAGCTCACTGCCAACATTACACATAAATTTCAATTAATACATGAAAATTAAATGACTAACTTTTCATACAAATATAAAACACATGGAAAGTGAGAATTATATACATGATATCATGTTATCAAAGAACTTTTTGCTAATCTGACATCAAAGACAATAAAGACATAATGTCAAGTGACATTGCTTTAAAATGGAACAATGTAAATTCAACAGCTCAGACACATAAAGTGAGAAGTACAAGACCCAATTCAGGTTAGTTCAAAATGCAAGTAATTAACAGTTGATTTAATTCAAGCATTACATTCACCTGCTATTGTTTTTGTACTATGACAATTTTCAAGCCATTTCAATGAAGAGAACAAAACAAAGGACAGTAAGTGTAAAACTGAGGACTGTTGTCCACATTAATCTGGTTATCTACACAGTTCACAGTTTCTGATAATTTTAGCATACATAAAACTTGTTTGTGCATACAGTAAAATAATGACACAGTTACAGAAGTCAAAACAAACACATTTACACATCTTCTAACAATTACTTGTGAGCTGTCAAAGAATTCTCAACCAAATATCCCTTGCTTTAGAAGCTGCGTTTCCAGAGATTCACTATGGCAGAGCCATGGTACCCCAGTCTGCAAAGTGTCAGATTATCTGGATGATATTTTTCACAGCAGATGCAAAACTATAAGTCTTAGTATTGTCACTATATAGAAGACCAATATCGACCTCTCTATTTTCCCAAAATCTCCATTGCCATATTTTTCACAGTCCATTACTGTTATCTCTTCATGTTCCTCTTCACTTGGTTATATTACCTTGTCATTGATGTTCCAACTGGATACCTCAACATTTCCTTCTAAAGTCACCTTATATGGGCATATTACTTCCATATCAATGTCTGTTACATTTCGTCTAAAGAGCATATTATAACACCCTCTTATAGACTCAGTCCATGTTCGATCTTTCCTCGTCATTTCAAATAGGAACCTCATGTAAACTGCCCATAAAAGTAAAACTGTCTCTGGCACATACCATAAAGGTACTTGGGAGAGCAGAGGATGTATAGCTCCCACTTGTTCTTGACCTCAGCAGTAGATGGGAGTGAGCGAACAATGTCACAATCCAGGTTCACTTTACCTTCAGGAAAAAAAACCTGGTACTTATTAGAGAGAAGGCTGGGTTGACCCAGCAGCCAGTCTGAAGGGACATACTAGAAGAAAAATTCTCTGCCCTTGCGAGGGATCAAACCCTGGTCATCCAGTCTGTGGTCAGTCACAATACTAACTGAACTACCCTGGTTCTGTGAACTGTTTGTAATAAACTAAAAGTCCTTTAGGTCCAGATACATGTTTCCCTTCTATATGTACTGATATGATTTAATTTTACATATTTTCTTTTATCTTACACCTCTGTTTTTTCTGTTATCTGTGTACACATCAATCACATCGCTGCTGTTTGTATGTGTATAGACTGAATATTATTAACAAGCATTTATACCTCAACATGGTCTCTTTCTCAACCCTCTTCTTCTCTGCACTGAACAAATTATTTTCCAGTGTATCAATACTACTGTGATAGTCGACTTCAACTTTCTTCAAGCCCTGAAAATAAAAATAAAAATTAAGTAGGATTTCAGGTTTTCGTGGTGGTAAATCCAAAGACGGCTGTCTGCTGGGTTGTAGTGCCATGTAATCTGGTAGAAGTTTACCAACGTTTCAGAGGTCCTTGCTGCATCCACCAACAGGATAATGAGTCACTCATCACCCTGATGGTAAACTTCTATCAGACTACAAGGTGCTACAATCCAGATGACAGCAATCTTCAAAAAGAAAGACTTAAATTTAAATTCCATCAGAAAAACACATTATATGCATATCCAGAACGGTATTAATGGAACTACATTTATTTCAAAAATAAAATGTTTTCATTCCATAAAAAATAAAATAAAAATCCTAATATTGAAGACTTTAAAAATAGGAGTTTGCCATATCAGACTTGAAGCCTTCACAGTGACTATATAACTGATAGAATCCTCCTATCATTCACAAAATGTATCTTTAGTGGAATGGTTCTTCGAATATCAAATCAGTATGTGTAAGAGCCCTTTGTTGTAAGCCCACTGTATCAGACTTACTATTTTCTGCAACAAAATGGTTGAGATAATCTCATATACGAGTGCAAAAATAACAACTGATAAAAAATTTATGAATGACATATATGTATTCCATTTAGAGGAAAATCCTATGTGCACTCCTATTTGGCTTCCATCACTATCACTTCAGAATTCTAATATGGAAATACAGCACGTTCCATGATCAAACGAGGACTTACGAGTATAAGAAATTTCTGAAACATACCTCAATCTCATCCTTCAGTTTACTTTCTTGTTCTGCATCTTTCTGTAACTCCTCTCCCATCTTACTTTCTTTAATCTGTATTTCCTCCACTGCTTTAGAAACAGATCTAAAATAACCCACAAAAGAAACAAAAATAAACACATTAATTATTAATTACTAATACACAAACCTTCAGACAGAAAATCCCCCATTTTCTGTCAACTGAAGAGTTTACTTTCATTTACATTATAAAATTATTTGCAATTATCTGACAAACGATACAAAATTTAAAATACATCAAGACAAGGAGAAGAAGGTGGAGATTTAAATTTCTGCAGATCCACAATTAATTTTATCTATACTTCCTATGAGGTAAAGACCTGTGGGTCCTTGCATGCAAGCATGCATGTGTGCACACACACAGAAGCAAATGATATCTAAACTTGACAGTGTGTCTAATAAGAAAGAGTATATGGTCTAGCAGCTCTCACAACTGAACTATATTATTCCCAAGTACATCAGAAATAGGCGGGGGAAATATGGAAGTAACATTTTGCCCTCCTACATTAAAATAATCTTGTGCTGAGTGTGTTATCAAAAATTCAGAATACTTACAACACAACCCCTTGAGTCTGATCAAATTCAGAATACAACATACCAGATTCTTCCTGTTCATCACAAGTACATTCACATGTCTTTCACAAGAATGACATATTTTTTTTACTTTTGACAAGAAATCTGCAAAGCTAGATTTACTATCAACCTTCAGATCACCAACTGGTATATCATCATAACTGACAAATCAATTTCACGTTGTCAACATCCATCTTGTTGCAAAGAACATACTCTAGCTCATCTTGTAGCCAGGCATCACGTTCTTCTTTGGTACCAAATTGCTCATGCCGACCAAGCCTGTCATAGATTTCACTACGCTTCTGTTCCAACTGTGATAGCCTACAACAAACAAATAAATTTTCTGTTTTCTGTAACGCTAGTTCTGGATTATTCTGGGACATACAGAGACAGAGTAACAACTCTGAAATCTCATCCTTTCATTTGGAAAGAAGTGTGATTTGATTAAATCATATTACTCTTCATAAAATACAAATATATTTACATAACTAGCCTTTTACAACTCAAATGTAATAAAACTAAAACTTCCCAGCCACAACTTGCATATAACATTTCAGCTAGGTGTGCCACTGATGCAAAATATGTGCAGAGTTTTGAACATATTTAGCAAAAACAATGCTTCAATATGAGAACATGTTGATTTTATTTTAGTGTAGTCTTGTCTTGATGATAATGTTAACTTATTGGGTGTCAGATGGCTCAAAAGTTTAAAGCAACATACCTAGGCAGCATGGCGATCTAAACCTCTATTGTTCTTTAGCAAAGGCCATAAAACCACTACAATACTTTATGAAGAAGTTCTGTATTTGGTGCCATGTAAAAGAAAACATTTCAAATAATCACACATGCTCAATCTTCAGGGCCATTGAGAAAATATATTTCTCAAAAATGGCGGCCCTCACTGGCAAGTCAACAAGAGACCAAAACCTAGAAGAATACTATCATCATCCCTTCTTCCACAACTCGTATTTGGATAGAATGTTAGTCAAATATGAAACTTCAATATGCAGATTTTCAATTTACAAGACACTTATAATTAATTTATATTAAGAAAAGCTTAATAAGAGATTAACACACTCACATTTTCATATACTCTTCTTCCTTTTTCTTATACTTCTCATGTTGGGGTTTAAAATAAAGAAGTTGTCTCTCATTCTGGGCCATCCACACTTCCAAAGTTTTAATTTCAACTTGTGTTTGTACCTACAAAGAAAAAACTGAACAGTACAACAAAGATGACTATCATTAATATTATTAATGCTATGCATGATGCTGATCCATAAACATTTGGTCACTTATAAAAAATATATAAGCAAATAAACTGATCACATGTTACCAGTATAAAATATAAAACCGAGAAGTCCACATTATATCCAGATATAAAGTAAAAACATAAAAAGGAGGAGGAATAAAAAAAACCAGTTCACGTGTTTCAAAATCATAGAATTCATTACCTGATCATAATTTTCAGTACATAATGACTGCTATAGTGTTCTGTTCACAGCATAATGGCAGATTCTGCCATTTGAAGTAGTTGCAAAATAATGGGTTTGAATAATGGAAAACCTTGGATCCCATTATTATGCAACAATGGAATCTGTTGCAACAAATGTGACTGAGAGACAGACATGTATGGGCCCATAAGGTGTCCTTTGCTCATGCCAGAACATGAAGCACACCTAAAAACTGTTCTAAAAAAAGTTAAGCTGTTCTAAAATGTGTGTTTTTCTTTTAAATTATCCACATTTGAGAAAGCTGATGAAGATCAATATGCACTTATACTGAGCCGATGTTAACCAGAATTAAAGTCACCATATGCCAGAGGTTCCAAAACTTTTATACTTCGCGCCCCCCTTAAAACATTACATAAATTTCACTCCCCCTTCCAGAACAAGTGCAAGCAAACAGATTTGAAATAAAATTTAGCTATGAGTATACAGAACTGTAAGACAACTAAACTGCCTCAACCAAGCAAAGGATGTTAAAAATGCTTCTCCATATTTTGTTAAAAAAAGTTTTTCATACAAACAACACACTCCCCGCACCCCACATTTTGGGAACCTCTGCCATAGACCATTTAAACAACAGAATTAAAATCGCTGTAGAAAACTTCAAGGAGACTCCAAATACCAAATTTAACCAAAATCAAATCAGTAGTTTCTGGAGATATGTTTACTGATGAATGTAATCTCCTAAAAATGTATTCATTTCATGCCCTTCATGCAATAAGCACATGATAATGTAAACAATGAAGTTATGCAGTACATTTTTAAAAACATAAATTTACAACTGCAGCATAAATGACTCAGACGAGGGATGTAAAAAATACATACAGAATCTTGGTGGGAAATGTTATGGAAAGCAGCCAGTGGGAAGACCAAGGAACTTGGTAGATTACATAAAAAATGGATATTTGGAAAACTAGTTTTGAGAATAACTGGTGATAGATAATAAGCTCAAACTTATGTTCAGTGTTGGTATTTGGTACTGGCACTATTGAATTCTTAGTTTCTACTACCAGAGAATTAGTTATTCAGCATAAATTACTAATGCAACATACCTTCTGTTCATTGACTGCTTCACGTTCATCAGTCAGTGTGTTTATCTTCATAATCATCTCATCAATATGACCCTGCACCTGCTGCTCCTCTATTCTCAACTTGCTTTGACAATCCTGAAGCGCTTCCAAGTGTTTTTCATTGTCTTCTAGCAATTTCTTGGTCTTGAACATTTTCTCTTGAGCCTTCTGCTGAAGAGATCTGCATTCTATTTGGTTCTTCAAACCAGGTAAATTAAATTCTTCCATCTGAATCATAAATACAGTTGATATTTGAATATGGAGCATTGGCAGAATGTTAACTGATATGGAGAATATTGATAAGAGGAGAAGAACTCTACAAGTGTCATTTCAGCCTATGTTTTCTTTTATTTAATCATATTGCCCAAGGTCATACTGCTCACAGTTTCTACACTAATTCATAAATTGTGGATTTCACTGGCACTGTAATTCTTGAAAATTTGTGTCCAAATGATATCTCACCTTAAACATTGAACAGAAATTCAGCAATACAAACTTTATTTACTTACTAAATTATTCTTGATTTTATAGCATTCGGAAAATGGTAAATCCACAACCAATCTAAATCAGACCAATATTTATGCTACACTTCTAACTGAGAATGATCTCAGGAATAAGCTGCTGAAGTTACATCATCAAGTCATGAACTGTACTGCATACAAATATACTGCAGTTACAAATCCCATAAACGATGATAAAATTGTACAAGTCCCAGCTCACTGTACTACCTAAGAATGGGCTGGAGATTAAACTTACCTTACTAGCTGGCAAAGTGCACATGGCTTTCCACATCAAAGACTTAAATAGTGGGGCTTGAGTACCTCAGTGATCCCAAGAGCTATGTTGGCAGTAGCATAGCTACTGGTAGGGCCTCCCTAGCCAGATTGGTCGAGGGGGAGAGGTCAGACTAAGACAAGTACCCTGGTCCTCCAGGTTGGGGGTTGGTCGCAAGGCTAACAACCTTGCACCGTAAAAAGGAAGATGTTTCAAAACCTCAATCAAATCCTCGGACAGACAGACCTAACAGAGTAGCGGAGGATAGGACCAAATGGAAGAGGAGAATTGAGGAGGCCATGGACTGAATACGGACCGGAGAGCCATAGAAGAAGTAGAAGAAGAAGAATACATACACAATAAAAATATAAAAGATAGTCACCTTCCATTATTTGCCTAATACGCCTGATAGCTAAGTAATACACCTTTTGAATAAAAACACTAACATAATTTGTTTTCAGTCATTCAATAGGGTTAATTAAAAAATCTAACTTACAGTCTCTAGTTCCTCCATCATAGCCTTCAACTGGGATTCATACAGACAATATTCAAGGGCACGACGTGTCCTGTCAAGACCAGTAAATGCTTCAAGATCCTCCTTCTCAACAACTAATACTTCAAGCCTCTTTGACAAGGCTTGCATCAAGGTCTCAGACTCTTGTAGTTTTTGCTTGATTTCTGTATCAAACCACAACCACATAAGAAAAAATATTATTACTGGGTCTCAACAGTGGAATATGAACACTATGAATAATTATCATATGTGCTGGGATGCCTCAGTCAGTATAGTGACTAGCTACGGACTGAATGACTAGGGTCTGATCCCCAAAGGGGGCAGAGAATTTTTCCTCTAGCTTCTGTGTCCAGACAGGCTCTGGGCCCCATCCAACCTCCTATCCAATGGGTACCAGGGTCCTTTCCCAGGGGTAAAGCACAGCAGGGGCATGACACTGACCACTCACCCCCATCTAGTGCTGATGTTAAGAATGATTAGGAGCCATACCTGCTCCCACCCCAGGCACCTAAATGGTGCATTGTGAGACAGTTTTTATTTTATCAAGAATTATCATAATGTAAATAATGTTCACTTTACACATCCAGTAGCTAGTGAGAACATGTTTCCTGTAAAACTGTGTTTAAAGCATTACATTTCTGAACATGCCTTGCTGAATGTTAAAAATATTCTTTTGGAATTCTTCCATCACAACAGTTTCAACCACATTTTCTGAAAATGGCAGTTTCATTTTTCTTTTCAGAATGTCCATTAATAATTTGTTTTCACAGCAACAGCTATGTCCTAAACACAGAGCCTGTTAAATCTAATGGCTTTACACTGTGCTATACGCTGAATTACAGACCATCTCCCTGGGAGACTGGCAATTGTAGCACATTTTGCACATCTCTCAGGGAGATTCTGACACCCTAACGGTTAAAAGCACTCACCTTCCAAAACAGTCTTCATCTTCTGAATTTCATCTTCATGTACTTGTATACCTGCTACCTCAAGTAACACACTAAGTCTGTACGCATCTGGTGCTGTGGCCAACTGGTTAACCTGTACAGGAAGATTTGATCAAGTTTAAAGTTTAAAACCAATACCTTTGTTTAAAGCTTTTTAATTGGGCAGTATGTGATACTGAGCAACTAGTATAAAAAGCAGTACAGAAGTAGCCTTGCAAGCTCCATATTATTACAGCGCACACATGGAGAAACTAGGCAAAACCAAACAAATGTTAATCAAACCAGTCAGTGTTAGATGTAATGAAAACCCAGTTTAAAAGGAAAGCATGCATGCTACATTTTCTATCAATCCAGAAATGTTGCATACCAGAGTTAAACTTCAGTATAATAGTCAGTGGTAAGTTTATTAGCACATACAACTGTCACTTATTGCAGCTTTGCAGATGTTCATTCTGGCAAGTAAAAGTTTCGTACATCCCTTAGTTTGTTTGGTGGTTCAGTATGACAGAATTTAAAATATTTTCCTAGCTTTGAACTGACATGTATGATTGCTTTCAATAGCAAAGAGAATCTCACCCAGACAACTAATAAGTTATAAGATTACGTAATGCTGTTTCTCTGGCACATGTTTTTGCAAAATGCAGACTTAGGTCAGAGCCCTTGGATTCAGCAAATATAAAAGTTAAATTCTGTTTTACCCAATAAAATGGGTTGCTATAAAACTGGTGCAGGAAAAGAATAGCTCCATGTGATGTTATCTTTGGAGTTAAATTTGTTAAAATATGCATCTGTTTTTATTAGCATTCACTTTCATGTTCTTATATTTACATTTTCTGTGCCACATATGCACAACATGACCATGAAGTTATAAATGTATTCAAAATAAAATAAATCCAAAGGACTAAGAATTCTTTCAAGATCACTATATAACAAAAGTTCTGTACTACTACTTTCATAAACGAGTCGATATGGAGGTTTTAATGTACTTTTTCTATTACCTTCCCTTGTTTCACAATGTGGTATGTATTACAGGAACAGAATCCAGCTGATACTAACACATTCACCATTTCCTTATAAGGCACTACTTTTGAGTTAATGTAGAACTGGTCATAATTAAGCCCAATCCTTCGGCAAAAGGAAACATCATCTGATGGAATCTGGAAAATGTTGAAACATCTTTTTACCTTTTATTTTGTTAATTATTTACTGTGTGAAATGAAACTGGTAGAAAAAATTTTAAACAGAATTTAAACCTACATTATATTTTATAATCAAGTTTCAGCTTGGCAATCATGTGAACTAAAATAAGTTATGTGTTATCACAAGTTATCAGAATGTAGTAGCAATATCTTACACATCAGTGAACATTATAACAGATTGTTTTTGACTTCTGCTTCTTGGTTACATCTATGCCTGAAACTGTGTTACCATGTAAAACCTTACAGCACTGCACAGCAAAAATCCCTTATGATGCTACTAAATGCATCTGTATTTTATTTGTCCAGTACAAGATGTTTATATTTTTCTACTGCTATAAGGAAAGTAAAATTGTATTTATATTTGATAATTTTATATTGTTAATAAACAATTTTAAACCTAAATGTACTTAATATCATGACTAATTCACCATATTGCCTGTTAATATACCAAATTCCTTGTTGATAATCCATAATCACTCTTATTATGTTTCGTAACTTACAGGCAGCTGTTTGTCTGTGTTGTCAAAGACTATCTCTACTGAAGCAACAACAACACGATGTCCAAAACCATAAAATAATATATTGTGCCTCACATCTTTTTTCAAATGTGAGAACTCATCACTCAGCACAAACTGTATTGCTGCAAAGAAGGAAAATGTTTATAAAATAATACTGACATAAAACTACTTTTAATTATAATTATTTGTTATTAAAGTGTGTGGGTCCTTGAGAGAATATGTAGGCTAGACAATCACTCAAATTCACATGCAAGCACACCCACTAAGTTTCTAAGTCAGATAAATGTATAATAAAGCTCCTATATACTGAATGTATGAAATTACCAGGCTTCCAAATTTATCCTCTTTGTTACTAACCTAAGATATTTTATGAATCCATGTTGCAACATTTATCTGTTTTCAATGAACACAATCTGTAATACACATTTAATAAATTCCAAATATCACTAAACTACATGTGACCAACAATGATAAGGACTTTGAATATTGTCTAAATCTTTACAGTGAGATAAATGGTGTTCACACATATGTAGTAAAAAAACTGTGTTTTGGATATATCTGCAATGTTTGAAGCATTCAGCGCAAAGAAATGTTTGAGCATGATGTGAATGTGTATCTGAAGAGGTCCTTGCTGCCTCCATCATCAGGGTAATTTGCATGACTAAGGAATTTCAATAGTTACTTTGATATTAAAACAAGGTAAACTGGTTCAATTTCTATTCCAGTCACACTATTAGTATTAACAGAGGCCACTTATGTATACCCTTCAAGTTTCTCATTTGGCTCCTCTTGATGAGAGAGCATCAGCTATTCCACCTCCTCTCATGTCTTCCTAGTATTCTAATAAACTTCATGTGTCAGAAATGTACACTAATTCACAATAATTCAGCGGGAAATATCTACAAGTTATTCAACAATTCAGGACGAGTTGATGCTAAATTCAGGTTGATGGCTAGACTTCATCAAGAATGGAAGCACAGTAGTATTAGGAAGCAGAAATGGAATTTCTACATTCAAGTTTTCAGCTATCAAGGAACAGATTCCATATCCAGAAAAAGACTCTTAATGGTTCCTGACTAACCTTAGCACTTGCTGGGGTTGAAGCTTTTACATTTTCAAAAAATTATTCTTCATACCAACAATCTACATGAATGGTCAACTCAGTTACTTGGTAGTCAAATGGCTACCAGATTTAGATTTCACTAAGAAGTCTTCTCTACTACAAAAATGTTGACACATTTAATTTCTCACTTTTCTAGTATTATGAACCAAGTTTATCCACCATGGATTCACAGTGCATTGCCCCTTTTAAGAACACATTTGCTACGTTTTAAAAGAGTGAAGTGTACATCCAAAATCATCAAAATCAAACTGAAAAATACTCACCATATAAAATATTGCTCTTTCCAGAACCATTTCCACCAACTGCAATGAAACAACTGCTATCAATAGAAATTACAAGCATTGTAAAATGCTTGAGTTCATTTTGCTGATTTTATTGAAGTGTGCAATTTTTAATGCAATACAAACCAGAAGAAGAAATTAATTCTGTACTAAACAAATATTCTAATGCATTACTTAAGGTTTTGTATTTCTGAACATATATTGTTACAAATACAAACCTATTACTACTGATAAAAGCCATATAACAAATATTATATCATCCATTGCCAATGACACAGATGGTTTGAAATATTGACTTAAAAAATTAAATTAAACAATGGGAATCTGACAAAGGGAAAAAACAATAAGAACTATATAACACTGTACACACATCTAGTTAAAATGTACTCCAGACTGTGTAAGATCTGCATTTTCTATTTAATCAGTCAAGTTTTGTAGTATGGTGCAGATCTAGTTACATAAGGTCAATACAACAATAAGTCAGGTTAGAATGGCACAAGTTGGATGTCACAAATTTGGTTCATTACTGCACATGGCACATTTTACAGACACCTTGTCATGTGACAACCATGCACTATACGAAAAGTCCTCTGAAGTGTGGCAAGAAACTTGAATGCAGTTCCAGTTACTTAATAATTGGCAAACTAATGTTACTCTAAATTTGTGATCATGCTTGCATAAAACATCATCACCCTTCTCTTTCAAGATCATATGGGCGACATTACGCTTAGCAGTTTACTGCTGTGGTTACCAAAGTGGTTCTTCTGGACCGTTTTAAAATTGCTGACGGTCTTAGTAGATCATTTAATGATTTTTCTCAGTTTTTTAGAACCTGCATTATGCTTTGGAAGGTAAGACTAAAGACACTTTTAGTTTACTTAATTTATTCCACAGGAATACTAGCACTTCTTTACCAAGTTCGTTTTTTATTAATTTTATTTCATATCTTTATACTCCCAGCCGTCCCGCAGAACAACTGAATAAAGCCCGCGGACCACACTTTGGGAACCTTTGCTTACTGAGACAAAGAATGAATATTTGTCTAAATTTTATGCAAGAACTGCATGAACCTTACCTATTACATTCAGGTCTGGATGAAATGGTTCCAGGACAGTTTTCTCCCTGTAGCTTTTAAAGCCTTCAATAATCACCTGCAAAATGAAACGGACAGCTGGCCTTTGATAACTATTAATTTCAAAATACATTAAATCACACGTTTATAGTGAAAACTCACCTGCTTTATGTACATATTTTTCAGAGTGGTCACGTATTTTTATTAACTTTTGCTGCTGATTCGGGTCAGCGCCAAAACCATAGACAGGTTATCAGTGGACGTATTGGCACAATAGCATCATAACGACTGATTTATCAGCATTATTCATTAATGCAGCGAATCCCAGGAGACATTAAATGTTCCGGACCGCACTGATTAGTAGTGTGCACAGATAATACAACGCTAAGAACTGATGTGTGAGTAGTTTATGAAGGTTGTTCCATACCTGGAAGATTATTAGTTTCCTTTTTATTAAGACAGGGATTATTATCGTGAATGAAAAGTAGGTAAGGATATGGCAGGGGACCGTCGTTGGCAATTTCAGCGTTCTATTTATGAAAAGACTTGAGTCTGAGTCAGAATAGTTCCTGGGTTAGATTCCCAAGGAAAGTAGTTTATGTAGCTCGGAAACGAAAAAAAAACGACTCCATGCCTAAAGTTGTTTTGGCAATTTCGTGAAAACAAGGGCCACAACCCCCCAAACATAGCCCTGGGTTCGAGTCCCCTCTGCTCATTAACCAAGCACCATACAAGACTGGTGCAAAGACCAAAGTTTTTCGTTAATGCGGCTTGATTAAAAAACAAAGGGCACAATCACAAAAAGCTGTCCTGGTGAAGATGGTTACTGTAGCTTGGTAACCAACACAAAAATGGGGTCAATTTCCCCACAGGAACAATGTAGACACTGTACTAATAATACTACATTTCTGCAGAATGTGACTTCTAAATCAGGATTTGCAACTGATCTAATCTATAAATTTGAACTGAGAAAGAACATAAAATAAGCAAACTATTAACACTATAAATGACACTAGTATCATTTATAGTATTAATAGTTTGTTTGTTTGCTTATTTTATATTCTAATACACTACACAGTATGCAAAATTTTGAGAAAGAACATTTTGGTCATTTGGCTAGCAAAATAGGTTTGCAAGTATTGCATGAAAAGTTCAAAACTGTAAAGAAATGGAAGAGAAGATCCATACCAGATTGCAAGTAGTGCATGAAAAGTTCTAAGCCTTCAAGGAATGGAAGTGAAGAAGGTATATATGTAACTATTAAACATGGTACATAACTGCAGCAGCATGCAGTAATTTGCGTGAAGCAGCTGTCTGCATGGCAGATGCTTCTTAGTCGAGCAGGAAGATCCACTCCTAAAATATGGGGTGAATTTAATTAAACTTTCTGCCTACAATTTTGCAACTCAAAAGCACAAGTTTCTGTTCCAGTTAAAAGCAAACACTTTATTAACTAAATGGTTTCATTGCCATAAGTCTGAGAACCACTACTCTAATTTCATAATAATAATGTGGGAGAGCTCGTCTTCTGGAAATCAGTATCCCCACACATGACTTTAAGGGCTGGGACATTTGGCCAGGAAGTTTACATAATGTTTGAAGATGGCTGTCTTCTGGGTTGTAAAGCAATGTACTGTGGTAGAAGTTCATCATTTCAAAGGCTGCTTCCATAATCAGGACAATGGCAGACACTCTTTGCCCTAATGATGGAGGCAGCAAGATGGTTGTCTTCTGGGTTGTACCTTGTGTAGTCTGGGAGAAGTTTACAACAATTTAGAGGTACTTGCTACCTCCATCACCACAGTGCTACAACTCAGAAGGCAATCATCTTTTTATTCACTGCTGTGAGAACCTCAAATTCTACATAGGTAACATTCACTTGTTAGTGCTGTTAAAAATGGTTCAACCTGACCACAGGAATTTGATGCCTGTCAACATATCATGAATCTTGCTATGCAGAGTTCACAGATGTCATGCACTAACAAAATGCACCGTTTCAGAGTCACCCAAAGGGCATTCAGGGAAACTATGCAAGATTTATCATCAGAGTCAGTCAGTCCTAGCTGATATACATACCAAGAGCCATGTACATAAATGCAGTACCAGTATCTCCTGCACTATAGTATTTAGTTAAGATATAATGTTGCAATGACTTCAATATCAAAGTACACACAACACTGGCCGTGAAACATCATACATGAGACAACACTTGATACATGTATTTTCAATCATTAACATACATTAATTAAAAATTGCATTGTTATTAAAAACAACTTATTAAACTACTCTTTCCAACACAGTGGCAAATAAATGTAGTATAAAATATTTATATTGTAATAAACACCATTAACTCTATTATACAGGTTTTTTGTTTACAGATTTTAAGAAAAGTATAAAATACAATGCAGACAAAAATTCACTTCACAGTTTTTCCCAATATCAATAAAAAGCAAACATATTCATAAAATTGCTACATGAAAATATCAAGTTGTGATTTTGTTTATTACAGACAAAAGTTACATAGAAAAAACAATCCTTGCCCTCCCCATTTTGAAACTTTCTAGACATTGCCCTTTCCCCTTGGACATATCTTGTTCTCTAGTCTAATAGAACTTGTCCCGCGCCGTAGCCGCGTGGTCTGAGGCATCATGCTTCGGACCGGCGATATGGAACGCGCGCTGGTTCGAGTCTCGGGGGAGAAGAATTTTCTCATGAGCTTTCGACCAGTGTATGGGACCGGTGCCAACCCAGCATCGTGAGGAAATTGGGGAGCTACAATGATTAGCATAATCCGGTCAGGAAAGCTAGCAATGGCTGGGGGTTCGTCGTGCTGACCACACGTCACCCTATATCTGGTTGGATGATCGTTCACCTCTGCTTAGGCATGTGAATGTGAGGCCAGCAGTCAAGCTAGTCGGCTTTGGCTCTCTGGAGCTGTTACGCCACGGGTTTAATTTTTAGTCTAATAGAACCTAAACATATGCTTTGGTTCTATAATGTTTTGAAGCCACCAAATATTATTCTCACAAGAGAAATAATTTCTTTTCAGATTCAGGTATGGTGCAATTTATATAACTCTGGCTGGCAAAGTAAAGTGTATATCAATCAGAACAAAGACTCAAAATTTAATTTGGAAGTAATAAATATATGAAACAGTTTAAGGTTTGTATTATCACAGCTCTTTCTCAATGCGAATAAGAACATTAATTTTTTCTTGTATGGTGTTTGTATTCTTCCTCCTGCTTTTCATTTTGTCATATGCTGTCTAAAAATATCACCTAACAAACACCTGGTACATGAAAATTGCTACCTCCCTTTATCACAGAACATTTCTAGTAAAATTAAATCTCATACATGTCATATATCATAAAAGTTAAATTTAATCTCAAAAAGAATTGTAACTAGTTTTCTTCCGAAAAATATGTCTGTGCAACTCATCCACTGCAGAACTTCCTGCAAATACATAAATATATGTGATAATTAACTAATACTGGCAAATCATTAGCAAATTGCCAATAATATCCATGTGCAATATACAAAATCAGTAACAAGAACCACAAGAATACAAACAAAGACATGCAGTTACATTTTAAGTAATGATGTTATCAACACAATACTTTTGAATCTAATATAAAAACTGATTAAGATAAAGCCACCAAACTGTGCTACAGAGGCAATTGAAATTGCGTGTTCTTGTAACAACAAATACCTCCTGTGTCAGTGGCAAGAATTAGAGTCTTTCAACAGCATTTGAATTGACTAGCTGTATGGAATTTTTCTGACAGGCTATTTAAATTTCATTAAACGCTACAGTAAAATATAAATATGTTGGTAAAAATGATAAATTCATGACATTAACTGAATTTTGATCGAAGTAAAGCAGCGTATAGTTTCAGTTTTGTCCATGGTTGTGTTCTGGGTTCTAACACAATGTGGACTTGTAATTGGGTACTAATATTTTGAAAGAACATACTGCCTCCTCCATTAGGGCCAAAGTATGTTCCTCCAAAATTGTGGTACCCACCTACAAGTGTACACATCGTCACAAACAAGACAACTATGGACATCTAATTGCCATGAGAACTTCACATCTCATATAGTTTAAATTTTATTAATGCAGTTAACTTTGCGGTTGGAATCTCAGATATTTACGTACTTCTCAACCGAGCACCTGACTGGAAATCTGCATTTTTGGTGCTGTGCTTTCATGCTATTGTCCACACACAAACCATCCCCAGATTTCTGGTGTGCTACAACGAACAACATGAAAACAGCCAGCAAACTTGTATGTACCTCGTGATTTTCATTCCAGGAAGAGCTTCTGTAAATTTGTAGTCAGTGTTGCTGTTCCCAATTTAAGCCCAGACTATAAGAGTGGTTGCAGTTATTGTTCTTCTTGCTGCTTTGCTGGTATTGGCTGTGATTTTGGTTCATCTTTTGATATTTCTTCTCCTTGTCTTCTGATTATGTGGCTCTGTCAGTTTCCAAAAATATCTCAGTTTCTTCAGGACAGAGTCCCTTTGTCAAAACCACGATTAAAAATTACTGACCATACAATGGCAAAGCTTTAGTTTAAAATACCTATCCTTAGATTAATAGCAGTCTGTATTATGTCAACATCTTGAATATAAAGTATAAGCTGAATATTATCACACTGCCCTCTAAGATTCTTAACATAAGCACGCTGTTTGTATAGTTATGTTATTGCTTCCCGGGCAATAAAACACCCTCCACTGCAGAGGAATGTTCATTGCATCTGACTGCATGTGACAGACACCCAGATCTGCCTGCAACATTCTTAAAACCTTGCATACTATATAGTGTATTGGAATATAAAACATGCATACAAACAAAACTGTTTACACTTTGAAGGACACTAATGCCATGCAATGGCAATGCATGTTTTATATTGCAATAACATTTCCTGAGGCAAGACATTGAAAACTAAGACCTTACAGTTTGTAAGACTTGAGGTTCTCACAGCGGTGAGTATGAAGATTTCTGTCTTCTGGGTTATTGCGCTGTGTAGTCTGGTCGATGTTAACCAACGTTTCAGAGGTCATACTGCCTCCGTCATCAG